GTTTTCTTTTAGAAATGCTAGTATTAGCTTTCAAATTTTGACTGAAAATCCAGTTATAATTACATTTGTTTATTATGTGAGGTAAAAATTCATGTATTTCCATATGGATATTCAACACTGTAGCATCCATTTATTGAAAGGATTATAATTTCTCCACTGTACTGCAGCATCTCATTTGTCATAAAGTGTCTGTGTGTATATATAAAATATATGCATATATATAGATATATATGTTTCTTGACTCTCTATTTGCTTCTTTGTTCAGCTTGTATATGTAATATATATATATATGTGGTAATGTCAGTCATCCAAGTTTGTGGGTCACCTTCAAAATTATCTTTGCTATTCTTCGGGTCTTGACATTTTGTGTAAATATTATCATCACGTTGTCAATTTTAATACATAAAAATGCTGTATATTTTTATACAGATTGCTTTGAATTCAAGTAAATATGAAGAAAATTGATGTATTTTTATAATACTGAGTCTTCCAATCCATGATCAGGGTGTATCCCTCCATTCTTTTAGGTTTTTCTCAAAATTTAATTTCAAATGTGTTGTTTTCTGGGTAGCACTATTGAAAGTAAGCTTTTAGATTTGAGTGTAAATATTCGTTGTATTTTGATGCTATTATAAATTTTACACACACACACAATTTTCTACTTGTTTTGAGGATTTATATGTCCAGATATCAAGACTTACCCTAATTCTAGTGAAAATACAATGTGTTTGAACTTAGTCATTAACATAGGTTTGAAATTCACACCAAGGGAACAGAATAGAGTGCCTAGAAATGGAGCCACACATAAACAGTCAATTGATTTATGACAAAGGCTCATAGCAATTCAGTGTGAAATGAATAGGCTTTCAACAGTATTGGGACAATTGGCTATGAATGTGGATGAACTATAGAAACCTGCACAGTTCTATTCAAGACGAATCATGCACATCAATGTGAAACCTAAAGAGAAATCTTGTGGTATGACTTTTTTTTCACAATGTTGGTTTAGGTAAAGACTTCTTAAGCCTGAAAAAAAGCACTGAAGTGACAAAAGTCACTAATTTTCAAAATGTAATTACTGATAATATTTGAGAATATAGCTACCATTTAAAAATTTTAATTTTAATGTGTTTGAGACAGGGTCTCCCTCTGTCAGCCAGGCTGGAGTGCAGTGGCGTGATTATGATTCATTGTAGCTTTGAACTCCTAGGTTCAAACGATTCTCTCACCTTAGCCTCCCAAATAGCTGGGACCACAGACACACGACACGACGCCTGGCAACTTTTTTAAAACTATTTTTATTTTTTTGGTACTTGCCCAAGCTGTTCTCAAACTTCTGGCCTCAAATGATCCTCCCACTTTGGCTTCCCAAAACGTTGGGATTCTCCACATCACACTTATATCTACCATTTCAGTATGTTTTTTCTATTTCTCTCAACTGTAGTATGTTCTTTTTTTTCTCTTTTACCTGCCTTACTTTGGATTAATGAAACACTTTTAAAGTTACTGCAATTACCTGTCAGCAGCTTGATGATAACATTCTCTTACTACTCTTTCAGTTGTTATTCTGGATGCTGAAGCACACATTCTGGATATGTCAGAGTCTAATATAAGTTAGAACTTTTTTTTTTTGAGATGGAGTCTCACTCTGTCGCCCAGGCTGGAGTGCAGACACTGCATGGGGTTGGAGCCCCACAGCCTGCCCCTGCATGCTCCCCTAGAGGTTTGAGCAGTGAGGCTGCCGAAGAAGGGAGCCACACCCGATCACATGCCTGCGAGGGGGACAGGGAACATTTCCTGTGCTGATATCTCCATTAATGTTTATCTAACAAACCATTTGCGTTTTCTGCAGCACTTCAAAGATGTCATTCCATTTTCTTCTGGGCTTTTTAAACACTTTTTGATTTTAGACTTCAGCAGTTCGAATGTTAATAGCTAAGTGATTTTTCTTTGCATATATTCTTCCTGAGATTGCTGATTCTGTTAAATCTATGAGTTAATATGATGAGATCTTTCATCAGGCCTAGAAAATTCTCAGCCTTTATCCTTTCAAAAATGATTATGGTTCCTTATCTCTCTCTGCTCCTTCTGGGGCTACAATTGCAGCTGTGATAGACCTTTTTACCATTTTCCATTTGTCTCTTATTATTTTTCTCCATATTCTATTTCTTTCTTTTATGCTCTAGATAATACATTTCCTGCTGTCCTTTCTTTCATTTAACCTCTAGTAGCATGTGTTCAATCTGCTGTAAACCTAAGTTTCTAATATCAGTTATCATATCTTTATTTTTACAACTTCTATTTTCTATTTCTTATTGATTATTGCTCTGGGGTTCAATTTTCCACATTTTCTTACATTCATGAACATATTAGTAATTGTTATTTTACAGGATATCTTAAATAAACACTGTTTCATGCAATTGTTGTTCTTTTCTGGTTTGTTTTCCCCCTTGGTCTTGTTTCTTGACGTATCTCAATTTTTTTTAAATGTCCAGCATTTTATATAAAAAATAACAGGTAAAGCTCTGGTTTATGTTATTTTCCACTAAAGGTTTACTTTGGTTTCCAACAATCATTTCAAAATTGAAGAGAATCACTTTAAGCAATTCAGAGACTAAAGTGACTTCAGATTATATTTCTGGGTGCACAGGGCCCGTTCTAATTCAGGTTTGCCTTTACTCCTGCAATAGAGATTTCCAGAAGTACCACAAACCAAGTCTTAAAGATCGTTCACCAGGGCCCTCTTCCTTGATAGGTCTTGAATTCAAATTTTTATCTCCCCAAAGGGTAATACTTCTTAAAAACTCATTTCCTGTATTACTTAAGTATCATGAAATACCTCAGGGAGGTAAAAGGTCCTGGATGTGTGCTGCTTCCCTGTGCTTTCCTTCTCTCTGGGAATATAACCTCATCAGTCTCAGTTTTGGAATATTCCCAAAGTCCATTTTTTATCTCCCAAGCCTTGTGAATCTATTAACACCTGTTTAGCCAACACTTTCTACTTGGCCTTGTACTGGAAATCTGAAATCCGAACCTCTTCTATAGCGTGTCACATGAATTGGTAAAGTTCTCGAAAGGAAAATACAGCATAAAATGTTGGACTCACTGCAGTGATTTTCCCATCTCTTAAGAAAAGAATTGGCCGGGCGCGGTGGCTCAAGCCTGTAATCCCAGCACTCTGGGAGGCCGAGGCGGGTGGATCACGAGGTCAAGAGATCGAGACCATCCTGGTCAACATGGTGAAACCCCGTCTCTACTAAAAATACAAAAAATTAGCTGGGCATGGTGGTGAGTGCCTGTAATCCCAGCTACTCAGGAGGCTGAGGCAGGAGAATTGCCTGAACCCAGGAGGCGGAGGTTGTGGTGAGCCGAGATCGCGCCACAGCACTCCAGCCTGGGTAACAAGAACGAAACTCCGTCTCAAAAAAAAAAAAAGAAAAGAATTTTAGTATCTCAATCCTCTTCATAGTTCCCTCAGCTCCTAGTTCTCCTTTTCCTCCTCCTCATTTTTCTTCTTCCCTCCGTCTGTCTCACTTGCTCTAAATACATACGTGAATATTTGGTTTACTGCACGCTAATCTCTCATAGCCTCAAACAGAAATCCCCAAAGAGTTTATTTACGTGAAATGTGAGCAACTCCAATTTGCTTAAATTGGCCTGTATCTTTCTAGTTCAACTGAAGACTTTTTGGGCACCTTAGTATTTCGAATACTATTGGATGTAATTGAAGGCACTCATTAAGGAGATAATCAGGAAAGGCATATTGGGTTATAGCAGTGGTTCTGTAAATGGCCCTTGGACCAGGGACATGCACATCATTTGAGCTGGAATTTCAAATTCATTGTCTCAGTTATTTTTCTTAGGAGAGCTAAAAGACTAAAAATTTTCATCAAACCTGACAAAGCAATTGTAACTGCTTCATCTTTCCACCTTCGTGTCGCACTCCAGAGCCTCCAACTTCTCTATGCCCCTAGCCTTAACGGTTTTTGTTTTTCTTGATGCACAATGCACAAGCTGTGAACTTGTTATAAATGTATATTCTTGGGGCCTACTCCAATCTACTGAACCAGAATCTTTAGGAAGGTGGCCAAGAAAACTCTGTTTCCACATGCTCTCCAGGTGATTTTCTTATACATGGTAAAAACTGAGGGTCACTGAACTATCAGCAGAGTAAGCTGAAGTCAATGTTATACATTTTAATCCTGGTGTCATTAGCCCTTAGAATCCCTTCATACTCACAGGGTTTTACGCAATGGTAACCATATATTAAGTACCCAGAAAATGTGATTGAGGATAAGACTGCTTGGTTTAATAATTGAGATGATTTAATTTAAGTATTTATCCTTTAGAGACCATCTTCCTCATTTACAAGATGACAGATTCCTGTATATATTCTAAAATATGTAAGATAAATTTCATCTTATCCACCATCTAAATAGACATTTCAGACAATCATAATCTGGCAAATAATAATTTGTTTTTAATGATATTCCTGAGGCACTACAAAATACAAACTCCTCACTGCCAAAGAAATTACACTCAATTATATTTAGATTGGCCTCAGTGCTATATGAATGACCATCATGTTGCCCTTGGAAAAGAAAACCCTGCAGGCTGAGAGAGGATGAAAGTATTAGCATCTCTTAGATTAGCTGAGTATGCATATGTATTAAATTATTTCAGGAATATTATTTATGTACTCTGAGAAAATGGATTTTGCTAAAAGTGCCAGTAAGGCAAGGTTAAATGCAACAGATTCTCCAAAAGTAAGAGATTAAGTATGAGTAAAGAACAACTTGTGGCAAAATGTCAGTAATTAAAGAAATAAATCAGGGAAGGTGAAGTGACAACAAAAACGAAGAAACCAGAAGTAAAATAAAAACATTATAAAATAGCATCTAAAATTGAGAAAGTTGAAAAAGATATGTAAGCTAAACTGTGGTCTATTAAGAAAAATCACTGGCCCCAGAAAGTAGGGGGGAGATAGGAAGCAGTCCTACCTCTTCTAACTGCACCATGAGAGTAACGTTGTGTCCTTGCTCCGCTGTCAGCTTTCCATCAGCTGTGACTATCCGCAGCCCCCGCGGGGCTTTCCCTGGGCACTTCTGGGGTTTGGCAGTGTACTGTTCCCTTACTCCATCAGTGCAATTATTGGACACCACCTTCCTGTACCTAAATGGAAAAAAACTCAAGTCATAAACCAGCTCATTATGATGTGAATCATTCGCACATTTTTAAATTAGACAAAGTGCCTAGCCCTGAGGACCACGAGTAAGCACCTAACCATCTTTCATGCTACTATGAGGAGTAGCGTTAATTCATATAAAGTGCTCAACAGAGAGATAATCACGGTCACTCATTGTATCTATTAGTAGCATTTCAGTTGACTTTCATGTATCTATTAAATTAATGAATCATTTCATTTTGGAGTTGTGGGAAATACACAGAAATAAAAGATACAGCCCTTACTCTCACTAGGTTTATAAGATAGTTGGAGAGACATAAATGGCTAATCTAGGAGATAATTCAAAGGCCATATAATTAAGGACTAGAATGAGTAATAAATATTGCAAAGGAACTTATAATTCAGAGAAAGAATAGGTTATGATGTATATATGACTCAACATTCATAGATCTCATACAGACTGCTACAGTAATGGTATAGCACAGAAAACACTGGCTAAATATTGATATTTCTACTCAATATTTCATGAGAGATTATATGGGTTAAATGATCAAACCTCACATTAAAGAGATTTCAGCTGTTGTAGATTGATCTCTTTTGTTAATTTTTTCTTTTAGTTTTAACAGGAAAAAAATTATTCTACAAAATCAAACCTATATAATTATTCAGATTCATAGTAAATTAAAATTTGCAGTTTTAGGATGACAAAGTTTTAAGATTTTTTTTTTTGAAACAGAGTCTTGCTCTGTCGCCCAGGCTGGAGTACAGTGGTGCGATCTTGGCTCACTGCAACTTCCGCCTCCCAGGTTCAAGCGATTCTCCCATCTCAGCCTCCTGAGTAGCCAGGATTACTGGCGCATGCTGTCACACCCAGCTAATTTTTAAAAATTATTTTTAGTAAAGACATGATTTCACCATGTTGGCCAGGCTGGTCTCGAATGTCTACCTTGTGATCCACCCGCCTCAGTCTCCCAACATGCTGGGATTACAAGCATGTACCACCGTGCCCAGCCAACCTTTAAGATTTTTGAGGTTCAGTGTTATCTAGCCATTATCATTTTATACTGTTGGGTCTGGATCAACCACCTTATATATGTATATATTTGATTTCCCAAGTTTACTTGCCTAGAGTTAGTGGTAGAATCCAAATGGGAAGCAATCAAAGCTTACTTTCCACTCTTCTAGACTAGAGGTCAGAAAAATGTTTGTATCAAGAGCCAGACAGTAAATGTTTCAGTTTTGCACGCTATGTAGACTTTGTCACAACTACTTAACTGTGCACTTATTTTATGAAGGTGAACACAGACAACACATAAAAGAATGTATGCACCTGAATTCCAGAAAACCTTTATTTACAAAACTGACATAGTTTTCCAATGCATTTAAGTCTAGCGAATGCCCTTTCCTCTGCAAAAAAGTCAAAGGAGACCCTGTCTAGAAAAGTGCTTTGAAGACTATGGGTCACTACAATGTCAATTATTAATGCTTAATTCATTTCATATGTTAAATGTAAGAATTAAATGGGTTAATGTACACAGAGTACTCAAAAGTATTCTAATACTTAGCAAGTGCTCACAAAATATTACTGATTATTTCTGTTTAATATTATTGCTATTTCTCTTCTCTGTTCAAAACCTTCATGGACTTCATATGACCTTAGGATAAGTTGTAAATTCTGTAATCCTGGGCATAAAGCCCTCTTTTTTTTTTTTTTTTTTTTTAGATGGAGTTTCACTCATTGCCCAGGCTGGAGTACAATGGTACGATCTCAGCTCACCACAACCTCTGCCTCCTGGGTTGAAGTGATTCTCCTGCCTCAGGCTCCTGAGTAGCTGGGATTATAGGCACGAGCCACCACGCCCAGCTAATTTTGTATTTTTAGTAGAGACAGGGTTTCTCCATGTTGGTCAGGCTGACCCCAAACTCCCAACCTCAGGTGATCCACCTGCCTCGGCTTCCCAAAGTGCTGGGATTACAGGTGTGAGCCACCACACCCAGCCTCCACTAGCTAGTTTTATTCTATTCTCCTGGATTTATTCTTCCTCATAAGCCCATGTCCATTCTCTTTTTAATCCTCTTGAGAGTACTTCTGTTTATTCTCTCTCTTTCTGCTTCAATGTCCCCCTGTATGCCCTATCAGCTGCCTAAAATTTACCCACCCTTTAAGGTACTGCTTACTTCCTGTCTTCTCTAACATAGTTTCCCTGAATATAATAGTAAAATGGCAGGAATTTCATAGAGAGTGCTTACTATGTCCTAATTATTGTGCTAAGTTCTTTACATACATTAACTCATTTATCTTCAAAAATATCCATAATAAGGAAGATGCTGTAATGATTCCCAATAAACAGATGGAGGAATTGCGATTCCTAGGTGCCAACTAGTTTTCTCAAGATCAAACAGCCAGGACCCGAGACAATTTGTCTCTAGAACACACCTTCTCTTTAATACTGCACTGTATTGCGGCTTTAAATGAAATAAGATTATCCCTCCTCTAAATCCTTAAAGGACTCCTTACGATTTACTTGATAGAAATTCTTCATACCTTGTATGATTTTCTTCCTGGTGTGACTGTGTGAACTTCAAGCTCCTTGAGGGCGTCCTTGTGCTTCAGATATATAAGGCTGATAATCAGAAGGTCCATACTGGTAACTAGACCAGTTTAAATGTGAAACTATCTGCATAGCAACTGTTTATTACATCCCCAAACCCTCCAAGTATCTCACTCACGAACCCAGCTATGCTGATTCCTGTCCTTAGAATGCTTGCTTCTCACAATTTAGCAACCTATGGGTTAACACTTAAGCCCATGAGGGGTCTCCAAAACTCTGCTCCAGAAATAAGATCACTGCCCATTATAGTTGATCACTGTTACGCCTAAGGAATTTGAACATCATTCCATCTGATTTTTTGTTTTATTGAGACAGTCTCGCTCTGTTACCCAGGCTTTACCTGGCTCACTGCAGCTTTATCTTGGCTTACTATAGCTTCCACCTCGTGGGTTCAAGCAATTCTCTTGCCTCAGCCACCTAAGTAGCTGGGATTACAGGCATGTGCTACCACGAATGGCTAATTTTTGTATTTTTAGTAGATATGACATTTCCCCATGGTGGCCAGGCTGGTCTCAAACTCCTGGCTTCAAGTAATCCGCCCACCTCAGCTTCCCAAAGTGCTGGGATTAAAGACATGAGCTACCACACCCAACCTCATCTGATAATTTTTAAGAAATCCTTTGCTTATGAGTGTATGTATATTAAAAGAGAAAATAAAGGCAGGTGAGAGAAAGAAGAAAATAAAAAAACAAAATGCAGGCACTGGAGAATGATAGCATCCTGGTATCAGCAATGTAACAAGAAAATGACCAGTGATGTCTTCCAGGTTAATTGTGGCATCTCAGTTTGTTTTACCATGCATCACAGACTGCCTACACGTTTCAGAAGGGAGGCTCTATGCAAACTGGAGTCATGTTATGACTTTTAATCATTCAGCATCCAAGCACATCTGTGACTCTCTCTTGGTGAGCAGCTAGAGAAGCACTGGCTCACCATCACCACTAGCATCATCAGCGAGAGAACATTCTTCTGTTTGTCACTGTTCTGATCAATCATTACCTTACACTTTCCTGAATCCTGCAATAACAAGAGTTCTGCTTAAATCCAAAGCACGAATCTATCCCCCTGGGACTCTGCCACAGAGAAGACTGTTGGTAATTTTTTTAAATGCTCATTAAAAACCATTCTGAAACCATTTTATTTCCTGTATGAAAATGGCATCACATTAGCCTACCAGACCTGTCCCTGAAATTTAGAAGAAAATTGTGCCGTAATACAGAGTTCATTTACTCAAGTAAGCACACACCTGCTTTTTGCATTACAGAATGGTTCTATTTTCATCCCGGCAGCTGTCCCCGGGTCTGAGTTACATAAATGAATAATGCATTTAATATGTCATTAAATGGGGCTGCTACCTCCGTAATAACAAGGCAACTTATGATTATGTTGGACCTGCGCTCTGAATATGACTGGGATGCATTTAGTTGGTAAAGCATTTTTCAATCTGCCAAGAAGAAAAGTGCTTTGTAATGACAAGGGAGTCTTTGTACAATTACTGAAAAGGAAACATTCAGCAAATGTGCCTTTGATATTACTGATGGCTCATCAGTAGATAGGAGCTTATTACTCCACCCCAATTTCAGCTATTCTCTTCCCTCCTATCTTGATATACCTCTGTCATGTTTTCCTTTTTGCCCCTAGCCTCTTTGATTTTGCTTCTGTGCTACCTGGAAGTCTTAAAAAAGATGAAGGCTATATTTTTCTTTGTGAAAGTAAAACTGGACGAAAGCATTAAAAGTCTTTGTAATCTGTGACTTTTCAATTTAGTAGGTTTTTTTTTTTTGACATTTTGAGGTGGTGACGGCCAAATACAGATGTTTATGAGTATTCAGTATATGCTGAGGTGGCAGTATATTCTAGTTTAGAAGATCTCAACCTTGTCTACCCTTTAGTATCAGCGGGGGATCCTTTTAAAATAGATGAATATCCAGGCTCTGTAACCAGAAATGTTAATTTAATTGAGAATCATGAGGATCAGTTTGTTTTTAAGTTCCTGGTGACGCTAGTTTGCAGCCAAGGTCAAAGACTACTGACATTTAAAAAGTCAAAAAACAATAGATGTTGATGTGGATGTGGTGAAAATGGAATGCTTATATATGGTTAGCAGGAATGTAAATTAGTACAAAGTAGCATAGTGTCTATGGAAAACAGAATGGAGATTTATTAAAGAACTAAAATTAGCTCTACTATTTAATCCAACAATCCCACTACTGGGTATCTACCAAAAGGAAAAGAAGTCATTATATCAAAAAGACACCTGCACAATTCACAATTGCAAAGATATGGAACCAATTTAAGTGCCCATCAGTTGATGAGCAGGTAAAGAAAATGTGGTATAGATACCATGTGGAATACTATTCAGTCATAAAAGAAAG